CAACAATGATGGCTGCAACCAAAAAATAGCCAGGCATTGAGGCGGGTGCCTGTGGTCCCAGCAACTTGGGAGGTGGAGGCAGGAGACTCACTTGAGCCCAGGAGTTGGAGGTTGCTGTGAGCTATGCCACAGCATTCTACCCAGGGGGACAGCTTGAGGCTCTGTCTCAAAAAATAAAATAAAATAAAGTTAGACAAGCACAATATTTGTCCCACTGCAAACTGGAGAAAAAAACTTAGTGTTGAAACTTTTTTGTTTTGTTTTTCTGACAAAGTCTTACTCCATTGCCCACGCTAGAGGACTGTGCTGTCATTATAGCTTGTGGAAACCTCAAACTCTTGGGTTTAAGCAAACCTCTTGACTCAGCCTCCTGAGTAGCTGGGACTACAGCCATGCATCACCACACCAGGCCAATTTTTCTATTTTTTGCAGAGACAGAGTGTCACTCTTGCTCAGGCTGGTCTCAAACTCCTGAGCTCAAGTGATCCTCCCACCTCAGCCTCCCAAAGGGCTAGGATTACAGGTGTGAGCCACCATGCCTGGCCCTATGTCAAAACTTTTACTGACACATGGAAATGCTAAAAACCCAAATGAAGGAATAAGCATGCAGGTGTGTTATGTCACCAAGCATGTGTGTGCACATACACACATATGGTAAGTTCCAAACCTAGTTTTGTTGTACCTGAACAAATATTTTTGGTCAGAGCAGGAAACACAACTAGTTTATATAGGAATGAATACCTCATATCTGTTGTCTGGGATTCTAAATATTAAACCACTGTACCACTTCTTAAAAAAGTAATAAAATATATAAAATAGACTAAGTATTCAATAAAAGAAGCTAGGAAAAACAACAAAATAGAAAATATATATGGTAAATAAATTTTAAAAACAGAAAAATTATATATTTACCCATCACTTGGTTCTTTGAAAAGACCCACAGAATTGAAAAAAAAATTCCTGTGAGGAAAACTGAGTATGTACATGTACATGTATGCAAGTACATGTGAGGAAGATATATCATACACATTGAGAGAAAAGAAATCATTAGAAAGGATTATAAAGGAATGCCATAAGGCAGGGCACCATGGCTCACGCGCCTATAATCCCAGTACTCTGTCAGTTTGAGGTGAGTAGATTGTTTGAGCTTAGGAGTTTGAGACCAGCCTGAGCAAGACTCTGTCTCTACTAAAAGTAGAAAAATTAGCCAGGCATGGTGTTGGGCACCTGGAGTCCCACCTACTGGGGAGGCTGAGGCAAGAGGATTGCTTAAACCCAGGAATTTGAGATTACTGTGAGCTATAACACCATGGCACTCTACCAGAACAACAGAATTAAACTCTGTCTCAAAAAAAAAAAATCATGTATAATCTAGGAAAATATCTATAAAATGGATAATTTGTAGAAAAGTATAATCTACAAAATGTTTCAAGAAGAGTAAGAAAACCTAACTAGGCCAGTAACTATCGATATTATTAGAAAAAGTTCTCAAGGCTCTGCGCCTGTGGCTCAAGTGGCTAAGGCACCAGCCACATACACCTAAGGTGGCAGATTCCAATCCAGCCTGGGCCC